TCAGATGGCCCCAGGAGCCTCCAGCCACTGGAGCACCAGCTTCTTCTCATGGAAAGCCATGTGGTGGTTGTGAAGACCACGTTTGGTTCAAGCTGTCTGGAGAGCTAAAAGAAGGCCCTTCGGGGGTGGGTGCAGAATGACATGTCCAGGTGGGTGGCCGAACCTGACATGGTGGGGCTTAATCCCTGCTGCAGTCCAGGGATGCCAGCGAAGGAGTGTCTGCAGGACACCCTGGGTTAGGGACCGGCACCAGCACTGCTGGAGCACAAGGGGAGACCCAATCTGGGTAGGGGTTTTCAGATGTGTGAGCCCACTTGCTTCTTTTAACAGCCCACAGGCTGGGCATTTTTATTATTTCCATTTGTAATCACAGGAACAGGGGCTTCAAGGGATTATGGGAAATCTAACCCAGTAGCAAGTAACTAAGTGAGGGAGTCTCCATTTCAATGCAGTTCCCAAAACCCCAAAGTTCATGCTTCCATGCATGCACCCTGCACTACCACATTGCCTACGGACAGCCTGAGACGGAGGCAGAGCTGAGGTGATGGGAGTGGCACAAAGGATTATTTAAAGGTGACTTTGGAATCTAAATTCCCACTCTGAATGGCAGGCATGACTTTTGCATCTGCCTGGTACAGATGGGGCCCGAAGCATCTCACAAGCCCATACAGCATGCCTGAGCTAAAAAAAAAAAAAAGTCCTTGAAAGCATTAGCAGAGTCAGCTTCCAGCAGCCACTGAGCACATCTGGATTCCTCACAAAACTGCCTATCGGATGTGTGAAGGGATTCAAGCAGAAAGGCAGCCGAAAGTGCTCAGTGGCTCCTTCCGGCCGCAGGTTCTGTCCATCACCTCCAGCAGAATGGGGGAATTTCTCGTCCAGGGTCCTATTAACTTTAATGCTCTTAAGGTCAATTACTTGTTTGCTGGAACTAAATTTCTCACCTCTCTTACTTGTTAGAGACCATGGGAAGCTGGTAACACTCTCCACTCTCAATCAACACACCTGGATGCTGCGAAGTCTGCTGGAGCATGACAGCTCTGGCTCTATGGATGCCTCAAGCCTTCTCAGCACTGTGGACAATACTGTCCTTCAGCCTCCCACATGGCCTGTGCATGGCCACATGTGTTCTGGGTGTGTGTGCAGGCGTGTACTGTGCTGGGGGCTATGGAGAGTCAGCCCACAAAACCCCCACCCCAGGTCCCAAGGAAGTCCCACCCTGGTGACTTAGGTAGCAGGCAGTCTGTGGCAGAGTATCCTAGGCGACTGGCTCTCCAAGCTGATCAGGTGAGCAGCTTTCCCTGGGGTTTGGCTTGGAGCCTCTCTCCTTGCCTCTCCCAGGGCACCACAGGCTTCCCATTCGCCCCAGTCTCCTCACTGCATGCTTCACCTTTGAGACAGCCACTCTTGTGAGACTACCAACCTTTTTGACTACACTTAAAGAGAAAGAAGCGCCTTGTGTGCCCTAGTGCTTAGAGGGTAGTGAGCTCCCTGTCTTTGGAGGTCTTTGAACACAGGTTGTCCTGTAGTAGACACGTGGGAGAAAGAGCTCCAGTGCCTGGTGGAACAGGGGCAAAGGCCACGCAAGATTGGAAGCGGTGAAAGTCTTTTGCAATGTGGACATTCCCTGGGAAGCACCCTTTGTCCAGGAAGCTGGCTGCAACTGAAGGAGAGAGGTGAATCGGAAGTCTGCAGTAGGAAGGGCATGGGGGACTCTGGCCCTGTGCTCTGGGCTCTTCCATTGGAACCTGGGCAAGGCTCACATCTGTCAGTTCTACAGCCAGGATGGGTCCGAGGAGAGAAGTTGCTGTGAGAGTTCCTTCGGTGGTGCAGTGAGACCCGTCTCCAAACCTCTCTCGAGTGGCTGCTCCGTGGATTCATGGCTCTGGTGGGCTGCCTGTCTTCACGTCCAAACATGCACGGAGGTCCTCCCGCATTCCTGGCCCTGGCTGGGGACTGCCACCATGTCACCTCCTCTAAGCCTCACCATAGCTCTCTAGGGCAAAACCCAGCATCTGGCTAGAGCTTAACAAAGATTTGCTGAATGAACGGAACTGCATGCCCTGATCAGATGGGACAGTCAAACGAGGCCACATTCCCATGAAGGCCCCAACTGCTCCAAGACTCTGCTTGATTTACAGGCAGCACAGGCCTCTTCTGGGTCTTCTCCCCACATCTATTCGAGCTCGCAGGGGTGCCTACCTGTGCCCAGAACTCCGTCTAAGCACTGCTTGCCGCCCACCTGCCCTTAGCAGGAGCAGTTCCCTGCCACCCATGCACCCTTGGCCCTGGCTTTTGGGGCCACTTCTGCTAACCATACAAGGGGAACACCATCATTACCCACACTGCCCCTACCCTGTGCAGGAGGCAGAAACCTGCCCAGGCTGTCAGTGTACAAATATTGATTGTGTGTCTGCCTGTCACAGGCACCAAGAGCTAGTGCCGCAGCCAGCGGTGGGGCCTCCGGAGCCAAGCAGCTGATCTGTGTATAGTTGAGGATCAGTGCAGTTGGGGCTGCACAGTGTTAAACTAGCACACACTCACACACACAGGCACACACAGTCACACACATGCACATATTCACATTCGCACATACACTCACATTCACACACACTCATACACACACATGCACACACAGTCACACACATGCACATATTCACATTCGCACATACACTCACATTCACACACATATACACACATTCACACACTCATACACACACAAACACACACGCATACACATACACAGTCACACTCACATGCACATATTCACACACATTCACACATGCACATACACTTACATTCACACATGTACATACACACACATGCACACATTCACACACACTCACACATTCATACACTCACACGCACACATTCACACACACACATTCACACACAGGCATACACATTCACACACTCAAATACGCATTCACACTCACACATGCACACACATTCACACACACACACCTCTACACAGCTTTCCCTCAAGCATGGGCCACTGCCTCTTCACAGGTTTCTCTTTCATCTCCTGCTGGCTGGTGACGGCCCTCTCGTATCATGAGATGGGCTGACTCCAGATCATTGCCGTTTTTCCCTCTGCTGAGCTTGCCCTGGGAGCTGCCCTGTCCTTCCCTGAACCTGGCCTTGGTTGGGGTCATGGCAGCAGATCTGACTTGTTCGCTGTGATCCCTCCTTTCCTTAAAAAATGTTTTTCTGTCGTTAGGCTGATTGATTGACTGATTTGAGACCGAGTTTTGCTCTTGTCCAGGCTGGAGTGCAATGGTACAATCTCAGCTCACTGCAACCTCTGCCTCCCAGGTTCAAGCGATTCTTTTTCCTCAGGCTCCCAAGTAGCTAGGATTACAGGTGCGTGCCACCATGCCCAGCTAATTTTTTGCATTTTTAGTAGAGACAGGGTTTCACCATGTTGGCCAGGCTGATCTTGAAATCCTGACCTCAGGTGATCCACCCACCTTGGCCTCCCAAAGTGCTGGGATTATAGGCGTGAGCCACCACGCCCGGCCAAATGGGAAAATATTTATCACACATAGAACAATTATCAGGACAGTAGTAAGTTTACTTTCCCAATTCCTTCTCTCCAAAACCTCCAATGCTCCTGAATTGAGAATCCTCGTAGGGAAGCATGGTCTGGGTGTTTGTGGGAGGCTGATGAAGATAGGGCAGAGGGAGCCTGGGTGTGCAGAGGCCTCCGGGGAGGCAGGGAGGCAGCCAGAGGGAAAGAGGGAGACAGCATTCTAACCTGAAGGAACCACAGGCAGAGAGGGCTTGGCCTGTCTGAGTGGCCCGAGAGAGGCCAAGAGCTGCAGTCCAGCAGCTCCAGGATGGAGGACGAAGGCACTGGGAGGTCCAGCTAAGGAATCGAGTCTTCCCTCTAACGTCTGTGTCTGGTTCATTACAATGCCTAGCCCCATACCTAGCACAGGTTAGAGGCTGAATCCAGTGCTGCTGGATTGGAACCACCTCTGCACATTTTCAGGTGAGTTTGTTTGGGAAATAGAGCAAGAATGGGCACAGGTGGAGCCGGCAGAGGCTACAGCAGCAGCCCAGCAGGAGGTCATGGGCAGAGGTGGGCAGTATGTTCAGAGGGAGGCTGGCCGGAGGAGGGGTGGACCAAACCCAGCCTTGGTGGAAATTTCCTATGATGCTGCAGGAAGGAAGTCAGCACACATGGATCCTGAGCCCAAGAGGAAAGTCCACTGGAATGTCTGAAGAATTCGTGGTAGGTGCTTTGCAAACCCTGTGTGAGATCTGGCCCTGGCTGTGTGACCTTGGGTAAGTGGCTTTGCCTCTCTGAGACTCCTCTTCTAATAGGCCAGAGGCATGGCAGTTGGCACCTCACCTGCTCCCCAGGAAAAACTCAGCTGTGTGCTCAGCATCAAAACAGGGGCTCCATGCTGGGCCAGGTGGACCCTCTGAAGCCACTTTCTCACCTCTGCCCTAGGGATGGGGGGGTGGGGGCTGGGCCATGGCTCGTCTGCCCAGCCAAGTGAAATCAGGCACTCAAATGGGGTGCCCCCACCCTCTGATCTCATAATCCCACCTCTGATCAGCTGCTTGAGGGAAAGAACCCAAAATACATATTTGTAGCCAGAGTAGTTGATCGAAGGTGCTAATAATGGCGAGGGATTAGAAATAACTCTGATGCCCAGCCCAGAGGCAGGATTTTGTGTGTGTGGTACTGCCACTCAAGGGAGTAACGTAATGATGTTCAACGTGATGTTTACAGAGAATTTCTCATCACAGGGGAAATACCTCTGATGAGATGTTAGGTAGAAGACTTGGAATTATAAGAGTATGTACAGAACTGGGGCTTTGCAATCAGGCAAGTCTCAGGCTGAGGTGCAGGTAAATGAATGAGGCCCAGGGAAGCTGGGGGCACTCCATCCACAGTAGAGGGGACAATTGTGTCAATTATGCAAAGGCATTCAATACACACATATGAAGGGCTGAGAAGAAATGAACCCCGTTCTCATCCCTGGGTAAACTATTTTTCTTTTATTTCACTGTTTTCCAAATTTTCTCAAAAGAACATAATTTTAATTTTAAAGTGAAGCCAAATAACTTTATTCTTATTTAACGTACAAGGCTGGAGGTGCCCCGGGCCCAGCCTGATGTCCCTGAATGCCTGGGTCCCCATAAGGTCTAGTGCCAAACTCACAGTGCTTCATAGGCAAGCCTTCCAAAGAAAGGGCTGACATGCAACTCATTATACTCAGGCAAAGGAAGCCTGGGGCCACTCCCTAAGGCCACAGAGCTGGATGTGAATGACTGGGTACTGTTCAGCTCCTCCTGCACACACCTGCTTAGACACATGGCCCACAGGCCAGCCGAACTGGCGGTCCCTCCCAGGGGGCAATGCGTCCAGGGGCACACTGAGTAATGCGCCTTGGGCAGAGGCTCAGGACTGAGGCCAGACATCGTACTTAGGTTGTTTTCTCATCAGAAGTGCAGGGGGTGGAGGTGGACCTCCTGATGGGTGCCTGCTTGCCGCTCACCTGGGCTGACTAAACTTGCTGAAGCACCTTCAGGCCTCTGGCCATACCAGGTGGGTGGCAGAAGCTGCCAGGGCCAGACCGGCTGTTGGCCTGGAGCTGAGGGCCCCTGACTCATGGGAACAATGGCTCCTCCCTCCCCAGACGTCTCTTCTAGCTCTGCCTGCAGGTAAGTCCCTTTCATAGCCATGTTCCCAGTGCAGGGAATAATGCGGTGGCAAAGCTATCACAGGCCTGGGTTGAACCCTACCTCTGCCATGTTAACTGTGTGGCCTTGGGAAAATCACTGCCTCTGTGCCTCATTTCCTCTTCTGCTAACAGGGATCAAATCAGGACCTTTCTTACTAGGTTGTTAGAGAACGGAATGAGACGGCACCATAATGAATCCTCAGAGCACCTATGTGCAGTGGGAGCGAATTCATCATTGTTCCCCCTTACTCTGTTCCCCAAGGCACGTCCTTTTCTTATTCTGATGATGAGCCTGGGTTCCCAGTGTGGCCACTCTATGACCCAACCTGGAGCTGCTGCTCTCCGGCATCAGAAGGTCTTGGCTCGAGACTCCTTCCCTCAGAGGCAGGTGCTCATGTGTCTGTCAATGGCTGTACCCTGCAACTGGAGGAGGACATGGGCTGCATGATCACAGGGTCTTTCCAAACATGACAGGAACCAAGAGAGCATGAATAATGATCAGGGACCCTAAGGCATGCCTCAACTCACTCCATGTCAGCAGAGGCCCTGCCTGCCACGGCCCCCAGACACAGGAGAGCAGGCAGGCTGGGCAACTGCTGGCCAGCAAGAGGGACCTGTGGTGTGGAGAAGGAGGCACTTCCTGTGGCCTGCAGAGAGGAAAGACCCAGCCTGGGCTGAAGCCTTGGTCTGCCACCATCGGCTGTGCGACCTGGGGCCACTGGCATCATCGCAATAAAGCTCTTCATCTGCAAAGAAGATAAACAATAGCAACTCGTGGGTTTGCCGTATGATAGGCACGTGAGGGAGACTTATAGAAATTCTGTTCTACTAGGAATGGTGCAATGACAGTGCAAAGGCTATTGAAGGCCAATCACTTTTCTGAAGTCCCCTTAGGGCTACATAAGCTCTGATAAAAGACACCTACCACACTCATGGTGCTTCATAGACACTAAGTCTTCCAAAGGAAGGGCTGACATGAAACTCATTATACTCAGGCAAAGGAAGCCTGGGGCCACTCCCTAAGGCCACAGAGCTGGAAGATTGGGAGTTTGGGTGTGAGCAAGGCCTTTCCCACCCATGACCCTAGAAGCCCCTCCCCCTACACCCACTCACTGACTCCTGCAACCACCACCAGCTTTCTGCAGCCACAGTGTTGTGTGAAGTTCTCCCAGCTCCATGAGGTTCCCTGGGGACTCACTTTGGCATCCTGAGGCACCCCAGACATCATGCTACAGGCAGGGAAATGCACAGGAAATGTGGTAGGAGGGACGCAGTCTGTCACACACCAGTCCCAGTCTCGAAGCTCATTAGGTCATTCAGTTATTTTACCAAGCATGTAGGATTTCCACTGGCGAGACTGTGGAAGGAAATCCAATTGGAAGGCAAGACCCAGGCAAAGGTGTGGAGACTGAACAGGGAGAGACTGCCAGAAATTTGGGGGTGGGAATTCAGCCATGGGGAGCATAGGTTCAGGCAAGGTCAAGGAGAGGGAAGGTTTATCCCCATGTCTGACCTACCCCTTCGACTTTGCTCCCACCGGCCCCAGCAGCCCTGCCCTGCACTGCCTGCTCTTCAGGGGACAGGGGTGGTGTTTGCAGCCCCCTTAGTATCTTCCCTTGGGCACATATCAGCATTTCACCTGCTCCCTGGCAGAGCAGGCTGTGTGATAAGAAATCCAGGAAGTTCAATATACTCGGAGTGCCTGGCCACCACCACGGCTTATGCCAAAATAAACAGGGCCTGGCATGGGGTTACAAGGCCCCGTCCCAGGGCAAACACTACCTTTTGCCAAATAGAGAGTTGTTTTTGCAAAGGCAAGTGTGTACTCGGGGGGCAGGAGAAGAGCAGTTCCGCCAAGCCCCTTGACCACTTGCCCCAACTGGGCTCTGACATCAGTTCTTACTAATAATGGTGGGGGCTGGGGGCGGAGACTCTCACGGCCTTTAGTGAAAGATACAAAGTTGTTGCAAAATGAACAAGGAAGGAGAATGAGTAATATCAGTCATAAAGCTCCAAACAGCAGTTCAAACCTGCTTCCTGCAGTCTCCGGCGTTTCTAGTACTTCATCGCGCTTGATCAGCCCCACTGACTGGGAAAATGAGGGGCAGAGCACCTAAGGATGTTTCAAGGTCACGTGGAAGAGCATAGAGGGCTGGGCCGGGCTGGATTCAGGCAGCGGGTCCACCGCACTCCTTAGGCAGGTCCTCTGGGTTCTGTGAGCCTCCATTCCCTCGTGTGTAAAATGAGGCTTACAACTGCTACTCACAGATCAGTCCTGGGTTTCTTTCGGGTAGGAGCCTTGAAGGCCTTTAGCCGTGCACTTGGCCTGCGCAGACTCTCAGGAAAACAAGTTCCAGTATTGGTGTGGCCTAAGGTACCACACCAATTAGGGCACACTGGCCCTCCTGACAGGGCTAAGAGAGCTCATGTGCGTGCGTGTTCCTGTGCACACATGCCCGATCTCCAGAGGTCCTCGCTCCAGCTGTTGCGTCACACATCACAGGCAGCTCCTTTGTATTCTGCAATAAAGCCATTTACTGCTAATGATGAAATGTATGCCCTACAGTGCTCGTTATTCATAGGAATTAGATGTATTTCAGGTAACAAAACAATGAGTAATGTGGGCAATAAACACATCGTGCCAACCTGACCTGTGGTGGGACTGACGTGGTTCCCGCTTGCCCCTCCAGAAACAGCCACTCTCCCACAGCAATTACAGATTAACAAATCATGGCACGGCTCTAAAGCTTGCCCTGGGGCACAGGACTCAGGACCCACCTTCGGAGCTACCAGTGTGTCCCACGTCTTTTCCTTCCTGATAATTTGAAAAGCATCTATTCGCTGTCATCACATGCTCCCCTCATATTCGCTTGTACTGAACTCACTCTATCCGCTCTGTCTGACCCTTCAACACCAGACACCCGCCCACCTCCTGACACCTTAGTTAGTGCCAGACCCCGTGGAACTAGAGCTGGACCCAGAGATAACCCATAGATACACAAACACACACACACCACCCTGAGTCACTCAAAGACCTGTGCTCACAGAGGTCTCAACCACACATGCACCACCTCCTCTGTGAAGCAAGAGCCTCATCAGAGTATTCGTAGTCAGGAGACTACGAATACTGGGTTATGTCTGTAAAAAGGAACCCCAGATCCTGGGAGGTGTTGGCAGTCAGGTGGAGGCTCTGCCCCACACAGTCACTTAGTGATTCAGGCTGCCAGCAGCTCCACCATCTTGCACCCTGAGCAGCTAGAATGTCCTCTCTGGCCATGGCAGGGGAGGAGAGAAGGCAGAGGGTGCAGCCTCGGGCTAAAGGGAAGTGTCATCTGCACCGTGCTTCATTATCCAGCATTAGTCACATGACACCACCAAACTGCAGGGGCAATGGAAAGTGTCGTCTTCTGTGTTTGCATTCTGTATCTGGAAGGCAGAAATGAGTCCCACGGGGCCAAAATCAAGGCATCAGGAGGACTTGTTCCTTTGGAAGGCTCCAAGGGTGCTCACATTCCTTGGCCTGCAATCTGCCCCTTTCTTCCATTCTCAAAACCACAGAATAGCATCTTCTGTTCCCTGTGACCTCCTGCTTTCCTCTTGCAAGGACCCTCATGCCCATCCTGGTAATCTGGTGTAACCTCTCCTCTCACGGTCCATATCTGCATTACATCTGCAAAGGTCCTTTTGGCATGTAAGGACACATCCACAGATTTGGGGGAATAAGACATGGCCATCCGTTATTAACTGAATGTGTCTCCCCAAAATTCCTATGTTGACATCCCACCCCGCATGCACTGTGATGGTGTTAGGAGGTGGGGCCTTTGGGAGGTGATGAGGTCACAAGGGTGGAGCCTTCAAGATGGGATTAGCAGTTTTCTAGGAAGAGGCAGGAGAGTTTCCCATGGTTCACTCTGCTCTCTTCCATGGGTGCACACAGCAAGAAGGCAGCCATCTGAGACCCTGGAAAGAGACCCTCCCCAGAACCCATCCATCCTGGCACCCTGACCTCAGACTTCCAGCCTCCAGAATTGTGAGACATTACTATCTGCTGTTGAAGCCACACAATCTATAATAGTCTGTTGTAGCGGTCTGAACTAAGACACCATCTTTCGGGGCACACTATTCTGCCTAGCTAGCATTCCAGAAAGGAGAGAGATGACACAGGGTTTTGAGGACGCACAGCACTGCCCCTGCCATCCAGCTCTCCTCCCCTGTGATGTCATCGACCACGCAACCTCTCTAGAGGAGCAGTCGAGCTCTGTAGGGTCAAGTGCCAGCCATGAGCAGCTTTGCCCAGCAGATGCATGGCAGATAGCAGGGGCCTGGGAAGGCCTGTGAGAAGGGAGAAAAGAAGAAAAAGATGAATTAATGATTTGGGCAAGATCAAAAGTTGTGAGAAGACAGAAAAAGCATGAAAGAAAGTGGATCCTAATGAATACAAAGGAAACCACATCACACAGAGCCAACAAGGGAAGGGGATGGCCCCAAAGTGGAGGTTCTGTGGGAAGCATGGACGCTTCATGCCCAGACATGGAGGAATGGTGAGCGCGAGAAGTTTGCAAAGAAAGGGCAGAGGGAGGCAGGAGAAGGAAGCCCCTAGTATGAGCCTGGCACTGTGCTAGGCATTTAACTATCAGCACTCCCTGAGTTCTGCACAACACCCTTGCATGCCATGCCCTGCAGATGAGGGGACTGAGACTCAGGAAGAAGTCCCTGATCCAAGTTCACATGGCTGGACAGTCCATTGTGCCAAGATTTACAGGCCTTGTTTGGCTGGTTTTGAAACCAGCTGCCATCCCAGGACACCCAGCTTTGTGCCAAGCTTTGACATACTTACATGGCCTTAGTGTCCCCACCTCTTTAGGTCGCAGGTCCTTCATCTAGAAAATGAAGAGGTTGGGCTAGGTAATTCCCAGGCTCCCTTTCAGCTCCAGCCTCCTCGGGTCCTTGGGCAGCTCTAAATCAGAATGAGCTTCGGGGTGGGGCTGGGGTCTGAATTTCTTCCCACTGACTACTGACACGCAGTACCATCTGTGTTACAAAGACGATCCAGGGCAAGGAGGGAGAGGCCCATGGCAGAGATGACTCCATGCCCCAAAAATGAGTGTCATAGCAGCACACAGGATTGTGCAAGCTGCCCGTGAGTCTGCCAGTCGTCCTGGCCCGGAGGAGGGCTGTTTACACTTCCTGAGCGTGTTTGCAGTTAACTCCATCAGCCTGGCCCGTGTGCACAGCCCTCAGGGCTGCCAGGAACGTCTGTGTGGAGACAACAGGGACAGATCTCACCAGGCTCTTTATCTCAGGCACCAGAGACCCATTCGTTCATTCATTCATTCAAGTACTTGTTCATTTTCTCATTCATTCCCATAGTGTTTGCCAGGCATTGTGCAAGGCCCTGGGGACACAGAGGTAAGCAAGATAATGCCCTGAGAAGTCTCCAGGACCCAAGAACCTCAAAGAACGGTGAGGCACTAAATACAGGGAATAACTCTTCTGGCCAGGTTGGTGCGATGAGGTATGCGCCTGGAGTTCAGCGAACACGGGGCAGGAGACTTCGGTATCTTCCTATGGAAAATATCTAACTACTAGTTGAAAATTCAAATAAGATAATAACTCTACACTCAATTGTCTTTGGAAATATTTTTGTCTCATGAATGTGGATATGTGAAAATGTCACATTCAAAGTTTTATTTAAATCCCACTTGAAGCCTGGCCAGAAAAAACAAACTTAGTTATTTTCAGGACTCCCTCATTCTGAGGCCAATGCAAAAAACCTGCACAGTTTGCTAGGCACACCAGGCAGGGTTCCACAGAGGTCCCCGTTCTCCCAGTTAGCATGCTCCTTGACACCCAGTGGCTGGGGCCAGGTTGAGGGCTCCAAATGCTGGAGTGTGGCTGTGTTTTGACTCCAGCTTCCCTAGACAGACAGCAACTTTTGGAAAACCATGGCACACACCACCCACTGCTGTGGAAAGGGCTTTGGTCAGGCCTCTGGGACTTGGCTTTCTTCCCAGATGGTAGAAACCTTCCTTCTTCCCTTTTCCTCCCCTCTCATCTTTTTTCGGGTGTTTTCTTCCTTCCTTTCTTTCTTTCTTTCTTTCTTTCTTTCTTTCTTTCTTTCTTTCTTTCTTCTTTCTTTCTTTCTCTTTCTTTCTTTCTTCTTTTTTTCTTTCTCTCTTTCTCTCTTTCTTTCTTTCTTTTTTAGACGGAGTTTAGCTCTTGTTTCCCAGGCTGGAGTGCAATGGCAGGATCTCGGCTCACCACCACCTCCACCTCCCATGTTCAAGAGATTCTCCTGCCTCAGCGTCCCGAGTAGCTGCGATTACAGGCATGCGCCACCACACCCAGCTACTTTTTTGCATTTTTAGTAGAGACGGTGTTTCACCATATTGGTCAGGCTGGTCTCGAACTTCTGACCTCGTGATCCTACTGCCTCAGCCTCCCAAAGTGCTGGGATTACAGGCATGAGCCACCGCGCCCAGCCTCTTTTTTGACCTTCTTTCACAAAGGGCAGGAAAACATGCTGCCTGCAAGTGATTCAGGCAGATTTCTGCAAATGCCCCTGAGACTAGGGAACGGAAAAAGTCTGGCTACGTATATGGGACAATGAGGGAAAAATACGAAGGGAAACCCCACAAATTCATATTTCAACAAATCATCTGCCTTGCACAGAAACAACTGTCTGATTTTATTTATCATTTCTTTAGGATATATTTCCAGGAGTAAAACCAAGAGACCAGCACATTTTAAAGAATGCTCTTCAAGTCATTTTCTAAAGGTTTATACCAACTTATCCTCCCATCAGCAGTGTGCAAATGTTGTCTATTTCACCACACTATCATCAGCATCAAATGTTAGGATATTTTATTTTTTCCATCTTTGAGCTTTTTGTAAACTAAAGAACTTTATTTTCAAAACATTTGCGCTTTCATGTCACTCACTGATTTTACAAGTATTTTGTTTCCAACACTCCCTTTAAATACACAAATTTCTGTTATGGTGTGAATTGTGAGTAGAGGGACACTAGGGATGCCTCAGATTTTAGTAGATCACTAATAACGTGTCCTTCCAGGTGTGTTTTCTCACACAAGGCACCTTTCCCTCCTTGACTGGGAAATTCGAATTGGTGCTTCTGTGTCTCCCCACCTTCAGAAAACCTCCATGCAGTCCCTAGCAAGGAGGCTGCCCGATGGCCTGATTCACCCCTAGATTCTTAAATCCACCACCTCAGGCAGTGTGCAGGGCAGGCCTGTGTGCTGCAGGCCTCGCTGAGCCTCAAGGAGCCTCGGTTTCCTCCCCAGCAGTTAGAATGGTGCCTGATGCATGGGGTGGGTGGACATGAGGCATGAAGCCTGAAAAGTGTTCCATAAGCACCCAGGAAGTGGCACACACTCAGTGAACTGTAGCTACTATAGTGTTGTTATTACTATTATTACTCTCCTCTCTCTGGAAGGCAAGAAAATCGCTTTTATCTCTGCATCTCTGGTTGTTGGCCCAGAATGTCTCAGAAGATCAATCAGACTGCTTATTGAGTAAGCATTTCTCTGCCCTTGGCACCGGCTTTCCATATGTAAGACTGGGCTGTGAGTACTACAGTACTATCTTCTCTGGCAGGTGGCTGCTTGGATGACTCCACTCCCGTTCCCTCACCCCCACACCTCCCACCCATTCTTGCCTGGCCCTGCCATTGACACCGGAGAAGAACATCCAAGTATTTGCATTCCCAGCATGCTTTGCTGCCAGGGGTGGACGTGTGACCCACTTTCGGCCAATGAGACACTGACAGGGGGCTCCTGGGAGACCCTCTACTTTCCCATGGAGCTGAGGTTGCCATCTTGCCGCCACAACGCAACAAGGAGACCCACTTGCTAAGGATGATGACAGAAAGCTGGGAAGAGCCCAGTACTTGGAATCACCATCAGGTGACCAAGATCAGCACCACTAATTTTCAGAATTATGATGTTAGAAAAATAAACCAGGCTGGGCGCGGTGGTTCATGCCTGTAATCCCAGCACTTTGGGGGGCCAGGGTGGGTGGATCACCTGAGGTCAGGAGTTGGAGACCAGCCTGACTGACATGGAGAAATCCATCTCTACTAAAAATACAAAATTAGCCAGGCATGGTGGTGCATGCATGTAATTCCAGCTACTTGGGAGGCTGAGGCAGGAGAATGGCTTGAACCTGGGAGGCAGTGAGCCAAGATTGCACTATTGCACTCCAGTCTGGGCAACAAGAGCAAAACTCCCTCTCAAAAAAAAAAAAAGAAAGAAAAAAAGAGAAAGAAACCTAATTTTGTTTAAGCCACAGTGAGTTGAGTTTCCTGTTATGTGAACCCAAACGTTTCTATCAGATACCCATGAACTTGCTTTAAGGTGCTCATCAAATGTTATGCTCCCTACTTACCTTCTCTTCTTTCTCTCTAAAAGGCCCTTTGCTGCTCCCTGGGGGAAAGCCAAGGGGCCCAGGAATGCACCACATGTTAGAGTCAGGGGCCTGATGCTGAAGAAGCCAGCAGCAGCATAACTAGCCTGGGCATTTCTCACCTTCTCTACCCCAGATAGGGGCTGGGGATCAAGGACATCCTGAGGGCTACTAGGATGAGAGAAGCATGCCCAGCAGAGCCAAAGAACAGGCCAGAATATACAACCCAGGAGAGGGTGGGTCACAGGCTCAGGCCCTTGGGCCAGCTGGGTGCTCAGGGCTACACCCTATACGAGGCCACCCCCACCACTAGCTCCCTGCAGCTCCATCATACCCTCCTTGGTCTGCTAGTGACCAAGTGGGGTGTGATGGGGCTCCTGTGTCTTTGACTCCACCAGACTCCCCCAGCCTCCTTCAGGGAATAAAGAATCTGCCCTTTCTAAAGCCGTAAGAGCTGATGTTTGAGTGTCTGCTATACATCAGGTTATATATATCAGATATATACATATATCTTCATGAGAGTCCTTTGATACATAAAGGACTTCATACCCCCATTTATAAATGAGGAAACTGAAGGATCAAGAAGTTAAATAGTTTGCCCACGGTCATGCTGCTGGGAAGGGGGGCATTCTGTTTTCCTTTCAGAGATAACCACACCACAATAATATGTTCCTTCAGAGGCTATTTTATCCCGTCTCCCAGACAGGGACTATTCATTGCCATCTGGGTGCCTCTGTCCCACTTCTACCTGTCCCCCCTTCGGCCTCCACTGGCATTTGGTTCCAGCTTCAAGACTCAGCCTCATTCCCTGTCTAATAATAAATAGCCACCACTTGTGGAAAGCCCACCACAGTATTTTACAACAGTCCTACCCGATGGGTCCCTGTATACCTACCTGCTTTCCAAGTGAGGAAACTGAGGCTCAGAAAGGTGCACTTGCTGGCCTCTGTCACACAGCTAGTAAGGGAGGCGGCCAGGATGCAAAGCCAGCTCTGCCAGGGCAGTGTCCGCAGAAGACCCAGGAGGGGGAGGAGTTGCTTCCAGGTGAAGGTCAGGCCTCCAAAAAAAAAAAAAAAAAACCTTGGTCTGAGCCCTTCTCTCCTCCCCCACACTTGGCCCTGCAAATTGGCTTTGACCTTTCCTGCCCCTGCCTTTGAGCTTCTCCCCATTCAATTGAAATCACAAAGGAAGAAAGAGGGCTGGCAAGAGGGAAAGGCCCCTCCTGGCCCCAGGCCCAGGTCCCTGGCCACGCCCCTGCAGGCGCACCGAGCCCTCCGGGGTCTGTTTGCACAGTTGGGGCGCTGCGCTAGGAACCCCACCTCCGGGAGAAAGGCACCACGAGGTCATCTGTTTACTCTGGGATTAGCGGCTCCCCGCAGGAGTTCTTTTCCTATGAGATGAAAAGAAAGCGGACAATCTGTCAGGTAAACAGGCCACATTGTTCCCAGCCATGTCGGGGGCCCCTTCGTGGGCCGGGCCTTTGAGGTCGGTTGCTCCCTTGCACAGGGAGCGAGCTTACTTAAAGGGAATGGAACGGAACGGGAGGCCCCCGCTGGTGGGCAGGTCACCTGCTGCTGTTACAGGGAGGGACAAAGGGCTCTGACAATTCCTGCCTTTCCTCAGCTGCCCTTCTTGCAAGCCCTTCCCCCACCCCGTGGGTCTCTTGATGAGTCCAACAAAATGGGCACAGAGCCTGATCTCACAGATGGGGAAGCTGAGGCCAGCGGCAGCTTCCCCCAGCACAGAAGAGAGCTCCTGGCATTCCAGCAGGGGGTGGCTGGAAGAAAACCAGGGACCTGGTCTAACCACCTCACTCTTCAGATGGGGCATAGCTGGAGATAGGAATTGGCGGAGCATGATTTCTGCACTGTGCAGGAGTGCCTGGGAGTCAGGACTCCTGAGGGGTGGCCCTGGCCCCAGTTTGCTCTGTGGCCCCAGGCAAGCCACTCACCCTCTCTGGGCCATCCATCAAACAAGAGATAAGATGCTCTCCAGGGGCTACCCCTTCCCCATCCTACCATGAGAAAATCTAGGGAGGGCACAGGCCTCCTTCCCTGAGAACAGGATGAAGAAGAGACTGCCTAAACCCCTGCCCATCTTTGACCCCAAAGGGGCCCGTGAGGCAGCAGGGGCAGCACCTGGCCCAGCCACCACCCTCTGGGCAGGGTGCTGTGTGGGAAGAGAGCAATGTGGTGAGGTGGTGAGACTGCGTGCCCCGGGTCACACTGACCTGTCCAGCTGCAGCCTGTCACTCACCAGAGGCCCAACCTTAGGCAAGTGACTCAGCCTCTTGGTCTGTGAAATGGCCCCCATGAGGCCTCCTCCTCAGCCCGGGGGCTCCTCAGCAGAAGGGTTCCAGGAAGGCGGGAGCTGGGGCTGTTCTTGCCACTACCAGGAGGTCCTATCTATTCTCTAGCCTCCCTCTCCCTGACCCCCCGCCACTGCCCATTCCCAGGAAGGCACCTATTTGCTTTACCACCCTGACCCCAAGTCACTGTTGAGCTTGTGAGCGACAGAGCCAGAAGCATGGAAAAATCTCATGATGCTCCAAAGTCCAGGGAGAGCTCAAAGAAGGCCAGTGAAAAAGGCCCAGAGCTGTGGCCGGCCAGAGCAGGCGTGGACCAACCACAGAGCCGCCGTGACAGGAGCCCGGGCAATGTCCTGAGACTAGCTTCATCCCTGGAGGGCAGCAGTGCACTAGACACGTGTCCAGGCCCCCATCACCAGCTGGGGCCCCAGTGACGCAGAGCCTGCTCTTCCTGAACCCGCTCGACAGGAAGAAAACTGGAGGCCCAAAAGCCCCAGCCACACTGTGAGCTGGAGGTAACCTGGAGGGAGGGAGGATGACAGCACCAAGCTCAGCCCATCCTCTGAGGCTTCACGGGACCAAATGAAGGCAAACTTCTCAACTTCCCAAACCACAGGACTGTCTTTCCTGGGGCCCTGACTGAGACAAAGGGATGACAAATGGAGACGAAAGGATGCTGCTGCTCGGGGTTTGGGACAAATGAAATAACACGTTTATAAAAGTGCCTGGTAAACATCGGTAGCTCCATGACTATTTGCAGTGTCCGAATCCCCCACGCTGCTTTCATGTCCCCGTTTCCTGCTCCTTCCCTTCTCCCATTAAGCTTCCCAGGCCTCCAGCTGAAGGTGCGGTGTTGCTGGGGGCAAACGTCATGGGAATCACAATGACCACAGTAACCACTTATAAGCAAACATACTATAAGCCAGGCCATGTGCTAATAAGTGTTTTCTCTCCATCATACAGAGGAGGCAAGTGAGGCACAGAGCACTTGGATTCCCCCACCTAGGAAGGGGTAGAGTCAGGATTTGAAGGAATCCGGTTTAGATGCCCTTAACCATGCTTTCTAGGGTGATAATTAACTCTGACTTGCAGAGCAAAACCGTGTGCCAGGTGCATCACCTTCTGAACTCTTCATGCTGGGCACTGTGGTCCCTGCCACAGACAGGACAAAACTTCAGCCCAGAAACGCTCAGTGTCCTCTACTCAGTGTGCGTGGATGCACGTGAGGTCTGGGTGGTGGCTGGCCCGGGCAGCTGACAGGGAAGGGGCTGGGTCCTGCATGCTCTGGGATTCCCTTCCTGTTTGCTGCTGCCACCCCAGATACATTGCTCCCAGGGAGCTGTCAGCACCCTACCAATGGCAGGACCAGGCTGGCTGCTCCCTGTGAGCCAGGCAGCCCTCACCAACCACGCACCCCAGTGCTTCCTTTCCATCTCCAGGCGGTCACACACTGCCTCCCCGGGGCTTGCCTGCAGTAAGGATGGACGGGGGCTCCGAGGGGCACCCTGGTTGGAGGGAGGGGTGAGGAGTCCTCAGCAGGGGTTTGGGGTATGGGTAGACATAGATGGGAGGCCTGGACATCCCCAAGCAAATTACCCATTTCCCCAAATGCCCATTGACCATTCTCCCCTTCCTGGCTTCTGACAATTGGCTCCTGGAAACAAGGTCAAGACCACCCCCTGAGGACAGCCGTTTTAGGGAATCTCAGCATCTGGGGACACCTAAAGAGAAGGTCTCAAAGCAAGCACCAAAGGAGAAGGAGTTTCCAGCTGCAGTTGAAACTCACCTGTCCTGGAGACTCGTGGCAAACACCACCCCCCACAGTGCTGTTGCACACCCCACAGCAGCCATACAGACCACGCCCTGGCCTCCTTTTTCCTGTGAAGGCTGCCTCAGCAATTCTGTTTTCATCAGATCCAACAGGATTCACGTGGCCCAGAGGCCGTCCACACCCCACAGGTCCTTCCTAACTGCGCTGCCACCTGGGCACTCGCCTCATTGCCAGGCAGCTAGGATTCCACCTGCCCACCATATCCCATTCTGGAAAGACCTCCAGTTAAGCACACACTTGCCTGTCTTCTTGCAGCTTCTACCTGTCAGCCACAGAGCAGGGGCGTGCGGGGCACAGGGGTGGCTCTAGCCAGAACGCCTGGGGTCTGCATCTCAGCCAGGGGCATTGAACTGAGGCCTCTTCCTCAGCCTGGGGGCTCCTCAGCAGAAGGGTTCCAGGAAGGAAGGCTTCAGCTCCTCTGTCTATAAGGTGGGGAGTTTGACAGTCACCCCGGAGGGTTGTTGTGGAGTTCAAATGAGATGATACAGGGAAAGCTTTCAGCCCAGCACCCAGCACCACAGTAAAAGGCTATTTGTTGTTATTTCTGTTGCTATTTGTTCATTTGCATCTGCAATGTCTTAAAAATAGCTGAATCCTGCAATCATGTACCCTCACCTCTGTGCCAACTTAGCTTCTTTAGGCTGAACATACACAGCCCCTTCCTTCAAATACCCACTCTGTGTCCAGGTCTCAGACTCTCACCTCTCTGGCCAGCCTTCACTCAATCCCCAAAAGGGAAATCTGATGGAGAAGAAGCAGGCCTCTTTTGATTTTTAGGGCAAATCTACAGGAGCGAGAGAAGCTTGACCACAGCAAAGAGTAGAATGAGAACCAATTGTTACCCAACGTGGAGAGGCAGAGCTCAGCTCAGAATAATAAACCTTTGTCCTTCCTTAGGATTAGAGCTGTCCAAAGGTAAAAAGGGCTGCCTTTGGAGGGAATGAGCTCCCCATCTCTGGAGTCAATCAAGGTAGATGATCATCCACCAGGGGTGTTATAGAAAGGGCTTTCCCACCAAGTGGGAAGTTGAACTAGATGACGTCAAAGATGTAAGCTCATCACCAAGAAGAAACAAGTTCACTCCTTCCCTCCTAAACACAGGTTCGTTGTTGCATTCCTAGCCACGCCCACCTCTGTGCCAGCTACTCTCCTGAGTGCACAGTTCACACTAAGAAAAGAATCGACTTTTGGAAGCATTTAGTGAAAACAGGGCTACTTTGAAGTTGTTCTTGACCTTCACTTTTATATCTGTAAAATGGGCGGGTCAACAACAGTGCCTGCTTCACAGGATCAGCAGACACCAGAGTGGCCTGCCACACTGCGGGCCTCAGTGACAGTTGGTTTGTCGTTACTGTTAGTATCATTAACTTGAGGACTATCACCGTAATCCTGGGAATGTTTCTCTTTCTCTCTCTTATTTATGTATTTATTTGTTTATTTATTTATTTATTTATTCTGAAGATACAACTCGGTATGTACTAAATCAAGTCCTAAGAATCCCACCTACCTAAAGCCTTCCTTCATCCAGAGCAGCCGGGACCAGCTTGGTCTGGAAACCAACAACACACCAGTTCTTGGCCCACATCCAAAGCCAGCCAGCCACCAGAGATGGGAGGTCTGCTGAATGTACGTTATCTGCGACCATCATTTCTCAGAAATGGTATCCAAGGGTCAAACAAAGCCATTTTTCTCTGAAGCAGCTTAATCGCGTTGTAGAAGAAAGGGTGGTTCCAACCCTGAACCCACCTCGGCTTTTCAAATGCAGAGAAAATGGAAACCATAAGCCCCTCAGAAAATCTGATGTCAGCCGGCTTCTTGCCTCTCCGTTTCAAGTTACTGGGTATTCATCTGCTGCCCAAATGGGCCGGAAAGAGGGTTACCATGAAGACGGCTTAGGTCAAATCAGTGCCTGTGCTGTGCCCTGGGATAATGGTCTCTAGACTGACACTCAGACCCTCGGTGAGGCTTGGGATCCCTAAGGGAAGAGCACGTCTGGGACATTTCATTTATGGAAGAGCCTGGGCTCCAGAGTCAGGCCATCTGGCTCCTGGTCCCAGCCCTGCCACTCACCAGCTGTGTGACCTCGGCAGGTGACTGAAGCTCTCTGAAACCCCATTTCCTCCTCTGTTAGTCAGCACTATTGAGTCCTATCTTTGAAGAGTTGGAGATTCAGTGAGGCCGTACTCACTAAAACCTGGGACAGAGATGACCCATGGAGCTGTCACTTCCCTCCTCAGAGCTTGCTGAATGGCTGAGCCTGGGCAGTGCTGTGCCTTCTCCATGCTGGCCCATCTTCCCTCTATCAGGAAAGGTGGGTAGTAGACAGGTACCAAAAGGACCAGAAGACAGGAGGGGTGCTGGGCTGAAGGCTGGGGCCTAGGGAGTAGGCCTGGCTGAGGGGTGGGGGCTGGCTTTTGGGGGAGAAGTAGAAAGGGGCTTCTCTGCTATACATTTGATGCAGAGCTGTCAAGCACCTTCTGGAGGCCTCAGGGGAGAGACTGAGCTCTTGCTTGAGGAAAGAAGGGCAAGCTCCCCAGGAGAGGCCCAAGGAGTGGGTGAGTTAGTAGCTGAATGCCTGCAGCAGTGAGCATGCGCAAGGCTGCTTGGGAGGCCCACAAGGGCTTGAGGAACCTTGGTGAGGACCGACCAGGACCACCTGTGCTCGGCTCAGGGGATGTGTTGTGAACGCAGGAGGACCCCTTGCCCCCAGGAACGTGGGACTCAGATACAAATTCAGTAGTCCTCAAACTGGTTAAATCATCATTAGAGAACTGCTAGAAATACACCAGACCAAGAATTTCACTTCTGAAAGGTGAAAAGAAGAAGGTGCACTGGCTTGGGACCACAGAACCCAGGAAACAAGATGGTGGTGAGTTGCCTGGTTTCCTTTTGCCTCGTGAATTCCAGACTTGGCGCTAAATAAGCCAGTAATGCAGAAACACCAATGAACACAGATGGAAAATAGAAAAAAGCCCTGATATGGTTTGGATTTGTGTCCCTGCTAAATCTCGTGTTGAAAAGTAATCCCCAACGTTGGAGGAGGGGCCCGATGGAGAAAGGTGATTGGGTCATGGGGGCAGAATGTATCTTACAATGGTGTAGTGCCATCCCCTTGGTGCCACCTTCATGATAGTGAGTGAGTTCTCTCGAGATCTGGTTGCTTAAAAGTGTGTGTCACCTCCCGTCACTTGCTCTAACTTGTTCCCACTCCCACCATGCGAGGTGGGCTCCCTGTTTGCCTCCCGCCATCATTGGAAGCTTCCTGAGGCTGCCTCAGGAGGGAGCAGATGTCAGTGTCATGCTTCCTACACAGCCTTCGGAACTGCGAGCCGATTAAACTCTTCTCTTTTTTTTTGAGACGGAGTTTCACTCGTTACCCAGGCTGGAGTGCAATGGCGCGATCTCGGCTCACCGCAACCTCCGCCTCCTGGGTTCAAGCAATTCTCCTGCCTCAGCCTCCTGTGGAGCTGGGATTACAGGCACGCGCCACCATGCCCAGCTAATCTTTGTATTTTTAGTAGAGACGGGGTTTCACCATGTTGACTAGGATGGTCTTGATCTCTTGA